TTTACATGCGCAGACGTATATACATAATCCTGTTTTAAAAGTCATAGAACTATATTATGCACAGAGTGCTCGAATATTTTAACTTAATGCGCGGGGTTTGTTGATAAAAAGATAATTCAGTAGCTAAAGCAGTGCAACATATATATAAAAGTGCAAAGTGGCAACTCGACAAGACAATGTTTGATTAACGACTGTATGACATAAGTTATAGATGATACTTATTCAAAAACGCAGTCACACGATCATTCAGATACATTTAATATTAACAGATATTAAAAATCACCAAAGAGCGGAGCGAGTTTGTACGTACGAATGATTCAAATCGACAAGAGCACATCTATACGTGTGTGTATGTAGTTTATGAGTTAATGCGCCGCGGTGTGCGCGATGTATTTTTCGATCCGTTGACAAACGAACGGACGAACGTGACATGGTCGCGCTAATCAAAATCCGATGCAGCAACGACCGCCGATTAAGCGGTGGTCCCCTTCTGAAACGGCCCTCCGTCACGAATTCGCGACGAGGATGCGATCGGTCGGTCGAACGGTTTTTGACATAGGTCCGCGATTGCGCCGACCTCTCTCCCCAATTTCCCTCGTGTGTGTATACTTGGCATATACATACATATTTATACAGTGCTCGCTCGCGTCCACGTCGATCGTCCCGGAGCGACACACGGTCGGCCGGCTTTCCCTCTCTTCCGCAGATCCGTTTAAAATATGAAACGCGCGGGAGGGGTGACAGCTAAAATCTGCAGGAAGTTCGTACAATGCAGTCAGACTGCGGGCTACGCCGCGAGAAAGGAAGCTGGTCAATTGAAAACAGGGTGACCGAGTTTCGAGCTTCCTCTCTCCCCCTTACTCTCCTTCCGCGTTTCATCCAGCAACGTTCTCTGCGTCATTTCACTGTCTCGAAAAGCGTATCGAGTTCTTAGCGAAACAGCCTTTTCTCCTGTCATCTTCTGCTCTTTGGCAGGATGCATTTTTGCGAGATGAACTGTAATAGAATAATAATGGTTCAATATACGAGAGAAAATCGTGAACTGCACCGCAACAAACCATCACTAATATATAAGTGATTTAAAAGAAATAAAAGGTAATATTCACCGCTGTTTTTTTTTTTAGTCTTTTGGTTTGAATTCTGAAGATACGTTAACCTGATGAACGTTGATCAAATGTTTCATAAAAAATGTAAGAATTACAATTTGTCAAATCGTCATTGCACATCTTGCAAAATTGTTTCATATTGGTTTCCACACAGTTATAATAATTCAATAGCCAGGTATGGAGTCTGCACATTGCATATTCATTAACTTCATGCATATCGACTAAATGAGAATACATTTTGTAATCTTCTCTTCTTCCAAGAAAAGTATTGTTACAAATTTTGCATCGCAAATAACCGTTTCGTGTTCTTTTAAAATGCTTGGAAATTAACGTCCATTTTTTCTCTCTTGAGTCTCTTGATGAAACACAATTGTTATAAACATCATTATGTTTAGTCTCTATATATTTTTGTACTTGTCGTTTGTTTATTTGAAGCTGATAATTTGCGTTACAAATACTGCATATTGTCATAATATTTTCTATTGTAATATATATTCCCATCTCCAGTTCAACAATTTTTTCGGCATGATATCCGCTATTTGTCACAAATCGTGTGTCACTAAATACAAAAAAAAGAATTATTTCAAGCAAAAGTATACGAAAAATAAGAAGTTAATAGAAGAAAAAGGGAAAGATCGCGGAGAGACGTATAATTCTTTGTATATATATAAATATAAATATTGATACATAGTCTAAATCTGTCTAACGGCTCGCTTTATTACTTTTTTATTCGATAATCGCGATATTAGATTTAGGCTAAAAATACGCGTAGTCAAAAACAATTATAATAAATAAATGCAAATGTTAATTATTAATAAATCTTGATATAACGTTAGCTAAATCAAGTTGGCTGGAATGTTTAATAATACTTATGAACTACAAATGATACTCATTTGATTTGAATATCTATAATACTTGTGATAAAAAAATCTATTAAGCATAAAAACATATAATTACAATTCAAAATTCGATGGAAAACATTTTATTGCACGCTCAGAATTTTTGTTGCATTGTTTTTATATGTGTGTATTTTATTTCTTGTTATCTTAATGTATAATATAAGAATGATGTTATCACATATATTGCCATTAAGTTATATTTATACAAGCAGAAAGCATCAGTGTTGGTATAGGTGAACAGATTAGTTGCATATATTTCTAAGTATTCGAGAAATATTTGCACATGTCACTAATTGCTCGTTGATATTATAGGATAAAAGCTTAACGCGACACAATGGCGCATACATATAACGTCGATATCGGGATAGAAAGGATTAAAACGCGGTGCCACGTGAAATACGTTTACTATCTTGTTACAACGTCAATCAAAACGCACACGGCAATAAATCATCAGCGTATTATATCCCACGGATCATATACCGAAAACTCCATATCGTATACGTTGATGGCGCGTTAGATATAGGCGCGTTACAATATTATCTTCCAGTAAATGTAATAAATTTTCGTAACGCCGCCAGGTATTTTATACGGGAAATATTTAACGCACGCGCGCGCACGCGTGGCGAGATATCCAAAATTAAATCGTTCGCGCCATCAGGCGCACATAATAAAGAGACAGCGCGATGTCGGCTATCGCCACCGGGAACTCGGTAAAATCGAGCGGATATCGTTTGAATAGAGTGTACTCGGTGCTATTCGCCCCTTAAATTCACCATCCTTTCGTCGTCGTCGTCGTCGTCGTCGTCGTCGTCGTCGTCGTTTCTGGCTTCCGTCTGGCGTACGTCGCGCGCGAGCTCTTATTAAAGGTGGCGATTTATCGCTAGTAATAACGGTGCGGTCTGGTGCGAATATCTCCCGCCAAGCTTCTCTCGGAGGAGCAAGCTCGCAAGATCGTCTCGTGAAGAGGAAGAGGTCAGAAACTGGAAAGTAAGGGTTTATTCGTAGTAACCCCATTCGAGTGGGGGGAAAGAGGACGAGGGGTAGTTGGAGCGGCAGTGTGTTATCAAGCGTGCGTTAAGCGCGCTATGTGCGCGCGTTTTCCGGAGTAGATTAACAATTCCTGACATTTTAGTGGCGCTCCGGATGCGTTAACGCCACTTCAAGTACCGTAGTGCTCGGCTGTAACGAGCTCCAGGATTGATTAACCGCCCCTGTCGAGCGACCCGCAACTACGGACTACTACGTGCTTCTCTAAGCAAACGAGACGACGGCCCGACGAAAGATGCTCGGAACTTATAATTACCGCTTGATTAATTGCCATTTTGACAGATAACTCGGAAACGGAGAGAATTTTTCACCGACGACTATAGTCGTCTCGTTGAGCAACGAACGGTCTACTGTGTATGCGTCGATTAATCTTCTTAAAATATCGGACTCTATGTAAATTAGTCGACTGTCTGCCGACTTTTTGAACAGCCGTTGGACGGATCGGCAGTTGCATTAAAATCTGGAAAATAGAAAATATTCATCACGGGAATAAAAGAACACACGAAGCATACGCGGATCTCCGGGCATCCTGCGAATAAATGCAGGGATATTCGATCAACTCGGCTAGCTTTTTCTCTCGTTGATTTTCATAATGCGAAATCCAACATCCGCGCGCAAGCTTGAGATAAAGTAGAAACAAGAAAGACAATCGACCGTGAAATTTATCTGAAAGAATCGATCGCAGAGATACTTGATTTGGATTATATACGATCAGATATTTATTGACAGGTATTAATCGTAAGTTTCGAGAGCGGAATGTTAGTCTGTGAAAAAATCTTGATCGGTCAACAAGCGGCATTAACCATAAGCGTGATAGACAGCGGCAGGTGTTTTCCCACGTCGAGAATAGTGATCGAACGATGGATCGCCCGGCCGGGTTTGGATCGCGCATATACATGGACGGAAGGAACGGGTCACCTGCTCAAGGGGTTAAGAAGACGAATAAGCATTATTCATACCGCGTGAACGCTTATCCTTAAGTTATTCATCTCATGAATTAGTAAACACGATGAAGAGAAGCTCTGGCTCACGCGCATCCCTACAAGGAAGCTTACTAGAATATTAAGTCCAAAGATTTCCTTGTCTTTCGTACTTACCTCATCTTCAGAAAATGCACCAATTTTGAAATTAATTAATTCAAATTGTTATATATAATATTGCCGTAACAACGATCTCAGAGACTTCAAGAAAAACTTGATTTATATTTTTCTCTTGGAGAAAAACTTACAACAAAAATTATATTAAAATATTTAAAGAAAAAATACTCATAGTATTAATCTAAATTTTAATAATACTTTCTAGATTAAAAATAGGACCGTCGAACGTGCATATAATACGTTCGTACATCTCTCGTTCCTCTCGATCTTTCGTATTTCCGTTCAATAAAATTTTCAAAGAATTTCCAAAGATATAGAAGGGTCTCAATATTCCCTCGTCCAGAACCGCAAGCCTTCTATCGCGCTGGTCGGTAATATTTAAAGAAAGGAGAAAACGACTTAGCGCGCACGGCAAGAGCGCGAAATGTTTATCGCTCGCCTCTCGTCATCGTCGAAGTGCGAACGACTATAGGCTGGAAATAGATTACAAACGTAATATTTCAAGCGTCGTAAATATATTCCCCGCTGCCGGTGCGATGTGAACTTTTCGTGCCTTTTCGTCCTTTTTCTCTGCCGTTCGTCTCGCGCCGACTGGCAGTTGCGACGTCGCGATCTAATTGGGATAAGAAGAATTTTTGTGCCCAGTGGCCCCTTAATTGGTTGCCCGTCATTAACAGTGGTTTTATGACTCTAATTATCATTGCGTAAACCTTAGGACGTCAAGGCCTCCTTGAGTCTCTCGTGAACTTTGGAATGTAGTCGAGTTTATCATGCAACAAGACGATTTATTTATATCAAACGTCTTTTGCAATTTTATTTTCTATTTAAATATAAAATTTTATTTTATTCCCTTAATTTAAATATTTAGATTGATGAAAATAATCGTACAAATAACAAATGCAGTTATATATGAAATTTTTTGCGAGGACAATATAAGATCTAGTAAAAATGTTACCCGCATAAGGCAGCTAAAACTTTGACATTGATAACATCTTGTAAAGATTATGTATTTTCAACAGAGCTACTTAATGAAAAAAAATATATATTGTACAAAATATTACCAATATGTAGATAATATATTAAAGGCATTTTTATATAATATATAAACGCTGGTAAAGTTATATTGAGTTATAGATCCGCTGATTAATCTCAACAGAATTATCAAAAATGATTGGCAATGTTATATCTAGATATAAAAAGATTTATATATGTAAATATATGAGTCGTCATGTATCGAAATCACGCGAAGATCTTAACATATGTGATTCTTTTATAACAAATTATGTCAACATACTAGCATAATTTGTCTAACTTGCAAAAGTTTTTTGTTTAGACAAAATAGATTCTTTTGTAAAAATAATGTTTCTGGATTATTTAATAAGGAGACTACATATGTGTGCGAAAGTAGTCTTAACTTAAGTCTTCGTTTCTTGTTGTTGCTGCTGTTGCGGTTGCACTTCGTCGGCCTCCCAATTTTCAACATCCTGTAGCGGGTAATTCCACGGTTGGATTTTGGCTGATCCGAAAATCGCAAATATCACGAAAGCCGAAACCTGGGCGACAATGGTAATCCAGAATGCGACTCTCCAACGCGCTATAGTATGCTACAGGAGGACATAAGTAAACGTAAAAAATTATATACAATAATCATAAACGTGATAATATAATAAAATAAATAAACAAAATATCGAACATTATTTTTATATCTATACTTTAAAATACGCGTACGTTGTGAAATTTAATCTGGATATTTTGAAATTACTTTGGCAATTACTTGGTAATGTTCTGAAATTACTTTGCAAATTACTTTACGATGAGAAGCAAATAATATAACGTTATAAATCTCATTCTCTATCTCTTAATGTTACAATAAAGTTAAGTTTGCAGTTGATTGTGCAATTAGGATTCAGTGTCTCCCGGAGAAAATGTCAACTTAACTTCCTTATCGGCTTAAAACCCCGTTCCACTTTCCGTAAAACTTGAGAAAAGTGGAATTCTTGCGCGCGGATAACTTATTAAAGATTCGAGAGAAATCGGCGATTTATGTCACGTTGTTCTTAGCAGACATTTCTCGAACGCGTTAACGCTATTCTATAACTGGCGTTCAGAATCTTCACTCATTTAATCTATTCCTTTTTATCTTTGAATAAAGGAGGAATTTCTATTTATATATGTAAAAAATAAAATTTGAAATACGTACTTATGAATACCGCAATTTTACGAGCAACCGTCTGCGACCAATATCCTCTTTTCCGTCCCCAATCCAAAACTCTTCCAATCATTGGATTAGTGAAGGCATTCACCAGGTACGGCGTGCAGACAATAGTGGCATTCTATATAAAACAGGTTGAAAATATGTGACGCACAAAAAGAAGTTAAAGTTTATATCTTATTAATTATAAGTTGTGTATACAAAAATTTGCAGAATAAAATTAATACTACATGCAAAAAAAAATATAT